TACATCACAGGATTTGTTGCTTCTTTCTGTGGCTTTTGCTCGGACTGAATTGGTCAGAAGTGGTTCGTTCATGCTGCTCCCTCTCGTTGGAACTTGCTACAAGAAAGTCTTGAGTGAATTCCTGTCAGTCGGTGAGTTTTCATCCAAACTCAAAGTTACTGAGGTCACTTCAAGGACACGGAGCGAGCTTCTTTTAGACGACCTGTTTTTTATGGCTGGGCTTTTTGTTGAACTGTGTCATTTAGTGTTCTATTTGTTGCTGCCTCTTGGCCACGTCTCCCTGGAAAAACACCTTTATAGTCTCAATGTTTATTTTATCCTGGTAAAATAAAGGTAACATTTTAGTGTGTGCGTGTTTGTTTTTATTAAATCAAAATTAAAAAAAAGAAGAAGAAAATTCTAAATGTTAAATTTCGTCCAATAAAAAAAAATAATAATAATATCATGGAAGGTAATGAAGGACTGTTCGCAGCCGGTGTTGTCTTGTGCTCAGGGAAGCTGCACAGGAGCACGAGGACAGGAGGAAACACATTGAAGACACTTTGTCGTGGCCGCCGCCGCCGCCACACTCAACTCACACATGCACTGATCGCATCACGCAGCCTCCCACTCCACGCACCTACTGTGCAACTCACATGTCATACTCTGTCACCTTAACTACCGCACTAACGCCCATCATGCGCAATATCATTGTGAAATACTTGTATTTTATACTTTCATAATGCTATTATATCTATATTGTGTACATTTTGAATATTTTTAGTGTGTGTTTTTCTTAAGCATGTTGTTGCACTGAAAAAAGGAGTGGCTCTTAATTTCATTGTATAATGACAATAAAGACTTTCTGATTCTGATTGTTGTTTGTTTGTTTGTTTGTTCCGAATTTTATTATCATCATTATTATTATAAAAATATATTATTATTATTATTATTATTATTAATAAATTAAAACAAACAAGAATAAAATAAATTTAACGGATGGATAATCCATCATTATTAATAATAATAATAATAATAATAATAATAATAATAATAATAATGATGATAATAATAATAATAAATTAAAATTCAAACGAACAAGAATAAAATAAAACATTCACTTGAATATAATAAATAATAAGATGGTTGTTTGTTTGTTTGTTTGTTTGTGGCCCACCTTGCCGCAGACTTCGCACGTGAACACTTTGGCTTTGCTGCTGGGACAGGGGCCGCTGATCCGAGTCCCTGCCGCGGAGCCTTTGAGCATGTGGTGCCGCTCCTCCATGAGGTGCTGGATCTGGTCCGGGCTCAGGACCCCAGACCCGGACTGCGGCGGCACGGCTCGGCCCCGCTCCGCCATGAGGACCTTGTGTCGCGCGCTCAGCAGGTAGGAGGCCATGGGGTGCAGGTTGAGCAGGCCGGCCGGGGGCGCGCACGGACCCCCTCCGTCCCCGCCGCAGTTCAGGTAGCACACGGCGGGCACGGGCCCCTGGTTGACCACGCGGGGTCTGAAGAGTTTGTAGTGGCCCACGGATGGGCTCGCGGCGGGCTCCTCCTGGGGGCCCCCGGAGTTCAGCCCGAAGCCCAAAAAGTCCGCGGGGCCCGGCAAAGAGCTCGGGTCCAGGTGTCCCGGGTCCAGACCGGCCAGGCCGAGCCGGTGGACCGGCTCGTAGCCGAGCGGCAGCAGCGGGATCATGCAGTGAACGGAGGGCGCGCACGCGTCGGGCTTTCCCGCGGGGGCGGGCTGGAACCAGGGGGGCAGCGGTATCGACCTGGGCTCGGGGGTTCGGGCCATGATCCGCTCGATGGAGAAGGCGAGGGGCTTGGTGCCGCCGGCGGGCAGGGGGGAGGCTCGGACCCCCGCTGGGCGGCCCGCAGAACCGTCCATCAGCTGCAGGAGCCGGGGGTCGGTGCCGCTCCTGCCCGGGACCCCCCCTCTGGAGCTCCGCTTATCGACACCGCGCAGATCGCTCGATAGGCGCGTGCGGAGAGCCGGGACCTGCTGCTGGTTCCGTTCAGAGCCAGAACTCCATCATGTCTCGTGCTCCCCTCCGTGGGTCTGTGCGCGCGAGGAGCAGCGGGAGGAGGAGGAGGAGGAGGACTCCGCACTCCGCAGGACTCCTGCTCGGACTGGAGGACTCTTCGAGTCTTCAGTCCTCTTGTGGCTCCGCGTCACGTCACTGTGCATGATGCGCGTGAACCCCCAGATCTGTTGGAACACACCAGAACCGAGAGGAGCCCAGCAGAACCCCAAATCCTCCTCCTCCTCCTCCTCCTCCTCCTCCTGATCATCATTATTACTGGTGATGTTTGAAATAATCGAACCTGTCCATGTACGCGCGCACCGCCCGCCGCTCGAGGAGCTGCACGTGGTTCTGGTTCTGCCGCTTTCTTAGAAACAAACAAACAAACAAACAATAAAAGCAAACACTTTAACATCTCGAACCTGGGCCTTCTGCAGAAGGCCACGAATATCATTTTTATCCAACAATAAAGCGAGAGGAAAAATAATGATCAACCAGAATAAAAAATATACAATAACAATAATAATAATAATAACAATAACAACAACAACAACAACAATAATAATAATAATAATATTGTGCTTGTTTGGATCTTTAAGCTGATCATTTACATTTCATAAGTAAAATAACATAATTCGTTTTCACTTTGGGTTTCTTTGAATTATTTCTAAATTATATTAAAGAAAAACTTGTTTATTATTAATAAAACAGATTCATTAAAGTAAATTAAACTGTAATGATTTTAAAATGATTTGACTGCTTTTAGTCATTTGTTGACTGAAAATGAACAAATGACTAAAATAGACCAACAACAACAACAACAACAACAACAACAACAACAACAACAACAACAATA